AACATACATAGCAGTAAGGATAGCATCAAAATCAAGATCAAAGATCGCTACACCAGCCCTGAGAAGCTCATCCCAGCGAGGGATCTCACTAGCCCCAGGGAACTGCTGACGCCAAGCGTCCGTCAGGCGGCCAAAGCAGCGCTGGGTGGCGTGGGCACCCCCACACTGCTCACCCGCGCGGTCGCCGGAACGAAGAACGTAGGTGCAGGGACCAGTACCCCCACCCCTCTGACGCCCAGCGTACCACTCACGAAGCTGCTGAGGCGAAGGGATGTCCCGCGAGCGCTGCTGCTGCTGCCGGTGCGAGCGCTGGCCACCACCACCGCCGCTACGCTGCTGGGTACCACCCCGACCCGCTCCACCTCCTCCACCACTACTGCCTCCTCCGCTGCCGCCTCCACTGCCTCCACCTCCGCCGCCTCCACCTCCGCCGCTTCCTCCACCACCACCGCTGGCACCACCACCACCGTCTCCGCCGCTGCTGCCGCCACCACCACCACCACCCCCGCCACTAGTCCCGCCGCCACCCCCACTCCCTCCGCCGCCACCGCCGCCACCGCCACCGCCCCCTCCAGCTCCACCCGCGCCCTTGCCTCCCTTGCCCTTGCTGGAGCGACGTCTCCCACTAGGGGCAGACGCCGCGCCGACCGACCCAAGACCAAGCAGGTCGGCAGCAGCAGCAGAGGCAACAGAGGGCAGCAAGGGGGAAGGAGAGCACCCCTCAAAGATGGGGGTGCGAGGGTCACCACGAGAAGCACCTACAGCGACTATGCTCTTCTCCGCTGCAAGGAGGGCCTTCTCGAGGAGGTCGACGGTGAGAGTGGTGGGACAGACTGCGAGAAAGTGGTCCCTGACGACGCGAAGGGAGTCAGGGAGGCGTGCGACTACGTAGTAGAGAGCGATGTACATGGGGGGGGGGTTCTTAGCGCAGAACTCAGCAGGAAGGGCGGCGCGGTAGCGAGTGTCACTAGTGCGGAGGTGCGTAATGAGGTCAGCGACAGTGGGAAAGGCAGAGAGGTCAGGAAAGAGGTAGGGAAGCATGAGACGGCTCAGTGCAGCAGTGGCAGGGGAGGAGTAGCGCGCAACTACAGCGTCGTACAAGGTCTGAGCACTCTTGTACTGACTAAAGTGCGCACGCTCAGAGGTAGGGAGGTGGCGACGCACAGCAAGACGTGCAGCAGCATCGCGGGTGGCCCACTTAGAGCGGACAGCGGGATCAGCATCAGCAGCAGGGGCAGGAGAGGCGCCAGAGGTGAGGTCAAAGAGAGAAAGGTCGTCAGCCCTGTCGCACTGTAAGAACAGCTGCAGGTCGTCTAACCAGACCTCAAAATCAATGGCGCGACCCTCAGCGTCAAAAGCTAGGACACTAGGGGTAGCCATGGTGACGACAGTGACGCAGTGCAAGCAGTAGGGAAAGAGCTCGCAGTGTCAGTGGGACAGTGCTCACCAGGCAGGGCAGGTCGTGCAGTCAGCAGAAAGGCGGCTCAGCGACCGGGCGGCTCGGGTGCACAGCTGCTCGGCTCCCGGGCGGCTCGGCGGCTGGGCAGCTCGGGTGCAGGGCGGCTCGGCTCCCGGGCGGCTCGGCGGCTGGGCGGCTCGGGTGCAGGGCGGCTCGGCTCCCGGGCGGCTCGGCGGCAGGGCGGCTCGGGTCCCGGGCGGCTCGGCTGCTGGGGCGGCTCGGCCGGGAGATGCAGTGTCGGGCCGGCAGGTGCAGCGTCGGGCCGGCAGGTGCAGCGGCGGGCCGGCAGGTGCAAGTGGCGGGCCGTAAGAGGCGGCGGGCCGATGGGTGCAGCGGCGGGCCGGTAGGTGCAGCGGCGGGCCGGCAGGAGCAGCGGCGGGCCGGCAGGGTGCAGCGGCGGGCCGGCAGGAGCAGCGACGGGCCGGCAGGGTGCAGCGGCGGGCCGTAGAGTGCAGCGGCGGGGCCGTCGGCAGCAGAGGCGGGGCCGCGTCAGAGGAGGCGGCGTGGCCGCGTCAGGGGAGGCGGCGGGGCCGCGTCAATGGAGGCGGCGGGGCCGCGTCAGGGGAGGCGGCGGAGTCGCGTCAGGGGAGGCGGCGGGGCCTCGTCAGGGGAGGCGCGGGGCCGCGTCAGGGGAGGCGGCGGGGCCGCGTCAAGGGAGGCGGCGGGGCCGCGTCAAGGGAGGCGGCAGGGCCGCGTCAGGGGAGGCGGCGGGGCCGCGTCAGGGGAGGCGGCGAGGCCGCGTCAAGGGAGGCGGCGGGGCCGCGTCAAGGGAGGCGGCGGGGCCGCGTTAAAAGAGGCGGCGGGGCCGCGTCAAGGGAGGCGGCTGGGCCGCGTCAGGGGAGGCGGCAAAGCCGCGTCAGAGGAGGCGGCGGGGCCGCGAGTGAAAAGGCGACCCGAGGGGTCGCTAAAAAAAAAGGGCGCGCCTCGGGGCGCGCGTCGGTGGGCCCAGACAACGGTCCTAAGGTAGGACCCGCTCTATACCATGTGAAAATAGGAAAACAGGAATGAATGAACTATGAATGAAAGCAGTACAAATATGAAACCCTAACTGGGTTGTACCCCCTATGGGATACCCCACTACAGCCTACACATCAGTATAAGCTATAGATATGTTCTGACACGAACTCGGTCTACGCGTTCCCGTATTGCCAGCGGCGTGCCGTCTACCAGTCGTGCGTCGATCTCAGGTAAGCATCGGTCCAGTGGCAGTCGTAGTTTTCGTGCTGTAGCAGTGTTAATGAGGCTGTGGCTGGCTCCCCCGTCTACGAAGATTTTAACTAAGTCCGTCCCAATTTTCCCACTGAGCAGTATAGGGCTGTCTACCGTGGTACCCTCCTTATTCGGCCGGGTGTGGTCGATTGCGTGAACCGGCACAACCACTCGGTGAGGGTCGGTTGGGTCGGGCGAGCGGCGTGACCTGTCAGTAGAGGGCCCGTCTGCTACTGACTTCCAGCGTTTCCCTGCTGCTTGGTCTGTGTCTGCTGCTCAGCTTCCCCCTTTCCCTTAGCGTTTTCCGGGCATTCGCTCTTGCGATGTCCCGGCCGATTGCACGCAAAGCAGCGCCCTTTGAACGGTGCGGCAGCGGCATTTGCGGCGACGGCGCGTATCGTGGCGCTTTCGTTCGTCCCACGAGGCCGATGTCCCCAGTTGTTGTTTCCGTAGGACCCCGGTCTCGGTCGGCGGAAGAAGTCGAGCCTCTCCGCCATAGCGAGAATTTCCTGAAATTCGGTGACGCCGCGAAGCTGGATTTCCTGAGCGATGTCCTGCTTCAGGCCGCCGATGTAGCGGTCGATGCGTTCGCTCTCGTACATGTAGCCCACCTGCTCGCATAGCGCCAGAAATCCGCTCGTGTAATCCTGGACGGAACCGAGTTGGCGCCAAGTGCGGAGCTTCTGTCGCGCCGAGATCGAGGCCGCGATTGGCTCAAATCGAGCGCGCAGACCTGCGCACCACGCGTCCCACGTGCGATACTGGGGCACCTCCACGAAGTACGACGGCGCCCAGGGTCCGGTTTGTCCTTCCCGTGTCGGTAGTGTCGCGTAGTCGGTCGGCTTCGTGACGATGACGCGCCACCAGTCCATGGCGGGTCCTCGCAGCAACGACACGGCGTATCGAATCTTCGCCGAGTCCTCCGAGACGTAGTTGGCGTTGAAGAAAACATTCATTGTGAATAACCACGCCTGGACGGTAGGACCACCCCGTTGACTCGGGTCAAAGCATGGCGGGCGCTGTGGCTTCAGCGGCATCGGTGACGGCAGTCCCGAATCGTGGGTTGGTGCCGAAATCGTGACGCGAGGCTGACTTGGGGCCGCAGGCGTCGCTCTGGGGTGTGTCGTGCCGTGGTCGTCGTCTCCGTCGGGGCGGACGACGCCATCACTGGCCGCGCTCGCGGGTTGCCCCACACTCCCGTGTTGTGATGTTGAGGGTGCGGGTTGAATCGGAGTGCCAGGTGCTTGAGATTATGCTCTCATGAGGTCATTTTGCAGTGATGAGCGTTCTGCCGTTAATGCCGCGATTTCCTCGGAGCTTTCGTGCAGTTGTCGCAGCAGCTCGTTCAAACGCTCCTACGTGAGAGTGGTGACGTCGATATTGTCGGCCATGGCGAAGGGCGTCGGCTCGTCTTAGTCTAGGCGCAGTCGTGGCTGCACGCGTTTACGAGAGAACGCGAGGACAGCGGCTCCTAGGGGCTAAGGTGCGTGAGTCCCTTCGAGTGAAAAATCAAAAGTTGATTTCCTGGTGTGCGGAGATGCGCGGTCCGAAAGAAAGGGGCTCTGATAACCAAGTGTTACGGGTGCAATGAATCGAGGTAGCGAGAATTGCACTAAGGTGTCAAACGAGTACAAAATGTGAGCGAAGGCATGAGCGAACATTTATACGCGAAACATGCAAAACGGTAACGCGGTGCGTGCGAGCTGGCTAGTGCTACGCTGGAGCGAGGCTCGGGCTAGTCCCGAAGCGTAGGCCGATGCGGCCATGCCAGCAGTGCGAGGTTTGGCAAAACAGTGCGCGCGAAGTCGGCGAAGTTCCGTTAGCAGTAACGGGCGAACAATCGGCTGTTGCTGTACGCGATGTAGTCGGCTCCGTAAGGAATGCCGAGAAAATTCCTTACACTACCACACTTCATACGAGATATGTAGGCGAGCAAATTATAAGGTATGTTTTATCTTACTTCGCACTACAGCATTCCACACTTCGAATTTGGAGAGCATTTCGATCCCCGCTAAATTAACACGCGCAAAATACATAAGATTGAACGAAATGTAGCACTGAGTTGCCAGGATACTGTCAAATGTAGCACTGGCATTTCAGGATACCTCACCGTGTGCAGCCCTGACAAATCAGGGCAAATTCTGATTTCCTAAAAACTGCCCTGAGGCCTCAGTGTACCCCCAAACGAATCTGAGGGCCTGAGCTCGGTCTCTGAAAGCATGCCTTGGCGCCTTGCATACTCCAAGGCCACCCTGTCTGGTCCTGCTGGTGCTTACCCGTGCGCATAGCTTCCTTCCTACTGCTCACTAAAATCAGACTTCAAACCCCGGCCCTATGAGCGGCCGAAGTTTAGCCATCGACGAATTAGAGACCCTCTAGCACCCGCTTTGCTGCGGGACGGGCCTTTTGCTCTGCCTTGATTCCCACCCTCCGCTGCTGCTGCTCTTCCTCCCTGTGGGTGCGACTGGGAAGCCAGCTTTGAGCTGGACTTGCGCTGCTGTTGTTCAACTGAATCAGAACCTTGGTGCGGTGCTGCTGCCAGTTTCCCCTGCTGCTTCCCCCGCGCACTGCTGCTGCTGCTGCTGCTGCTGCAGACTTCATCATCATCATCATCGTCTGTATCACTTGCTTGGTTTCCGTGCTCCCTCTCCCTGTCCTCTGCGAGTGCCCAGAGCGCCGCGGCCTGCTGCACTCTGCGAGGAGGGAGAAAATGAAAAGCAGAGGGAGGGTGTCATGATTCGTCACGCTGCGTTAGCTACCTCTCTCTCGCAATCCCGTTGCTCTCCTTTCGCCTCTCATTTTCAGCTTTGCCCCCCTCGTCGTTCTTCTGATGGGTTAGATTATCACGACAAAGGGCTTGCATTTTGAGGTTTAAGGTTTCCAGAATGTCATTCATCTGATTCTGAGGAAGAGGGAAGATGCAGGGCGTTATATGGACACACTATGTGCACACACAAATCCACACACACACGCACATCTCTCTGAGATATCCACAACCACACATACAAGCAATAGTGCAAGCGCACGCACACGCAAATACATGCAAGCATTCACACATAAGGACACCACACACTCAAACACGCGTACACACACTCTTTCACTCACATTGTTCCTCCCCCTCCCCTCCTTAGTCTTCGCTCATTGCATCACCTCCCCCAACATCCTCCTCTTTCCGGCTCAACATCCTACGAATGATCCGACTCATCTCCGCCCATCCGTCTCCACCCATCCCTCTCACCCATTCCCTCAAATCACCCCTTGACCCCCTTACGAGAATCTCAGGCGCACCCTCACCTCTCCCGCACGGCCTCCAGGTCCGAATAGTCCAGCGACGCGCGTCTGCCCGATCCCGACATGGACTTGCGCGCCTTCGCCGGCACCGACAGATCGAACTCAGCCGTTTCCGCCGTTCGCGCCATCCCCCTGCCACCCCCGCGACCGCAATCACCACCGCCGCTGCCGCCGCCGCTGCTGCTGGTGCTGCCTGGCCGCGCGGCGCGTCCGGCGGCAGGATCACGCCGCGCGCCTGCCGACACGGCACCCGTGGGTGTTTTTTGCGCGGGGAAGGGGGAGGAGGACGGCGCAGTGGCGGCGAGCGCAGAGCCTTCCGCAACAATGAACAGCGCGGCTGGAGGCCGCAGTGCCGCTGATTCCGACCCGCTAGCAGAAGGACTATCACGCTCGCCGGTATGTTCAGTCTGTCTACCACCGACGCTTCTTTCGGCCGCCGCGGAGGCCGCTGCAGCCGCGGCAGCGGCGGACAGCGCAGCGGCGGCTGCTGCGGCGGCAGCGCCCCCGCCGCCAATCGCGATCCCATTCCCCGCGGCAAGCCCCGCCGGTGTAACGGCGCTGCACGAGAAGCGCCTGTCGGAGCCAGCGGCGCGACGCGGCGCGTCAACCACCCCTTCAAAGGCGCCGCCATTGCTCGTGTTACTAGCGGAAGTCGTGCTAGTAATACTGCTGGCGGGTTGAAGAGACGCTACTACTGTAGACTGCTCCGTCGACTCAACGGCACAATCAACATCATCCGACTTATCGGCCATTGGAGAGCCGCAGCCGCGCTTCGGCTTGGCGTAATAGAATCGACGGCGGATTGGCCAGTCGTCGGCATCGGCGGCGGATTGGCCTTCGGATCGATTCATGCCATGAATCTAGAATCGGTTTGTGGCTGCTTGCCGCCGTCGTCCGATGTCACGGTGCTGGGCGATCGGACGATCAGTAAGGAGCTTCTAAACTGGCAACATGGAGGAAGGAACCGAGGAATGTAGAGAGAAAGCTGCGTGGGCGAGGCGAAGTCCATTACCCAATGACGGGACAGACGGACAATTGAAATGACATGCCATCACATCACTTCAGGACTGCCCAGTGTCCGTCCACCCCTGGCCTTGATTTCCACCAATCTGAGTGCAGTGCAGTACAGTCGATGCTCAGCCTATCACAAAACATTTGCTCCAAACAATTAGAAATTTAGTCACTCGCGAACGTTTTGCCCGTGAGTGACTAAATTGACCATTGTGCCGATTTCAGGGTACAGTCACCAAGTTGAGGAAGAAAAACATCTACAGTTCATAAACAACAACGGTTGCCCGTCATCAGAGAAGTTAACCTGGTTACGAAAATAAAACCCTTGACTCGATTCACGTTGCAATTTCATATTACAGTCACATTTTTGTCCGTGGCGACAAGGGCGAAAGTGGCGAAGTGTCTTGAACACGTTTCACGCACAAGCCGCCCGCCTACCTGGTGTTCTTGAAATGGGCACCGACTGTAATCAAGGAACACTAACGTTCGTGATCGCTTCAGCTGCAGCATCTGGTGAGCGTGGGATCTTCTGCGATAATGAGTTTGGCGATGGCAAGAAGATACATGGAACATGGTGGGTAGCACAGAAAGCGGTGACAAAAAGTACACTTAGAGCTCACCATGAACTCTTTGTCCATGACATTTCACTATCACATTAATATTTCAGAAATAGACCACTCTTTACCGTCCTTTTGAACTTGAAGGGAGCGATAAATGTAAGCTAGCTGTAAGAAAAATATTTCCTTAATTTGCGTCATCTCATGTAATGTGTGGATTTTTATTCCCGCCATCACAACCAAACAGTGTCTGTTACAACTGTTGCGATCAGAAGTTGATGGTGGCCTAGGATCTACTCAGGAAAGTTCGCACGCAGAGAAGCGATGTTGGTGGGCCCTTGACCTCAAAAGCAGAGTGAATGTAAATGCGTGAGATGATTGAAACATGCAAGTACAGCAAATATAAATATGAGTACAGCGAAGATGAAATGACATAGCTAGCCATGTACTTTAAGGGGTACATTCCCATATTCAAATACATTCCCAACCGTGCGGCGCGAACAGTTACGAAAACTGTTCCCGCCGAAGCCATCCTGTCTGCAGCTGTCTCATGATGTCGTCTCCGACGGTTCAGATGCGTCCCAACTGTCTGACGCTTCGAGTCGTATCCAACCGTCTGACGCTTCACGTTCATTCGCGATACGGCGTGCTTCTCTTTGCTGCGGTGAGGAGTGCATAGTAATATTCAAGTATTACTATTCGTAACACCCCCCTTCACTCCTGGCCGCAACTCGACTTGACCTGCTTGACCACCCCGCTGAGTTCGGAGCAGTGCTGATACTGCTGGCGTGGCAGTCGTTTCGTGAGGAAGTCTGCTGCCATGTCACCGGTCGGGCAGTAGGTCAAGTTGACCTTGCCCTTGTCTACCTCATCCTTCACGAAGAAGTACCGCATCGCCATGTGCTTGGTCCGGTTGACGAAACCAGGTTTGTTTGCGATGCGGATCGCGCTCTGGTTATCGCAGTGAAGGCGAAATGTGGGCGAAGCTGGAATTTTCGCCTCTTGTAGGAGTTCCTGCAAGTAGAGGCCTTCGCGAACTGCTGCGGTTGCTGCAATGAATTTCGCTTTGGCTGACGACAGGGCAACCAGCTCCTGCTTCTGCGAATTCCAGGAGATTGGTCCCGTTGGCTCGAGTCGGAACAGGAAGCCGGTCCTGGACCGTCGATTATCGGGGTCTGCTGCGTGATCGGCGTCCGCATAGCCGATGAGGTTGAAGGATAGAGTTGGTGCAGTGGAGTAGCACAGCCCAATCTTGGGCGTGAGTACTGCGCCAGCTGACTGTGTGGAAACAAAGAACGAGAATGAAATGACTATGAACGAAGTGAGTACAAATAGGAAACCCTAATTGGGTTGTACCCCCTATGGGATACCCCACTATAGCCTACAGAAACAAGTAAGCTATAAGTTCTGACACACCCCCATAGGCAAAGTGGGGGAGAACAAGGGGTCACAAGACCAGTCAAGCAAAGCAAAGCAAAGCTCAGGGTGGATCACAAAGTCACCACGCATTCCGAGCACAAGTTCAGAGGCCACAAGGCCAGTTCACATGCAAGATCATATATAGAGATATACAAGAACAAGAGTATATATATGCGAAAGTACAAGCAAGGTCAAGAGGAGAGCAAGTGAGGCAAGACAGGCACAAGACCCAACTGCGTGCAACAACGCTGATGATCACAAGGCGCAAGTGCCTTGGTGAAGACATCAGCAGTGTTGGCCTCAGAGGCCACGTACGCAAGTCGCAGCTGTCCACGCTGCTGTAGCTCACGAGCAAGAAAGTAACGAAGAGCAATGTGCTTCGTTCTGTGCTCCAGTCGCTGCTCTCGACACAAGGCCAGCATGGCCTTGTTGTCTACGTACAGGACTGGAGGAGAACGAGGCTGCTCTCCAAGGTCGGTCAGCAGGTAGGTGAGCCAGCGTAACTCCTGTGCAGCCATAGCCCCAGCGTAGATCTCAGCCTCACAACTGGAGCCGAGAACAGAAGACGAGCGGGTAGCCCGCCACGAGACAGAGCCGGAACCAAGGCTGAAGGTGTAACCCTGTGACGACCGCTGCGTAGCCTGGTCGTCAGCCCAAGAAGCGTCTGCGTGCCCAGTGAGGACCACTGGACTGCGCCCTCCAAGCACTAGCCCCATGCCCGACGTACTGCACAAGTAGCGCAACACCCTCTTCGCTGCAGCCATGTGCTCTGGTCGGTGTCTCCCAGGAGCAACAAAGCGTGCGAGAATGCTAAGAGGGTATGCGAGGTCAGGTCGTGTGCAGGTCATCAGGTACATGAGGCAGCCAACAAGCTCTGCAAACGGGCCACTCGACTCTACGGACTCATCCGAAGGCAGAGCTGAGAGCGAGTGGCGAGTAGGCAGAGGAGTGGCCTGAGGCGAGGAGTACGTGAAGCCGAAGCGCTGAAGGACCTGCTGCACCATGTGTGACTGAGTCAGGGTAATGGTGCGGCGTGCTCTGTCCCGGGTGATCTGCAAGCCAAGGTAGCTGCGCAGTTCACCCAGGTCAGTGCACGTGTGTCTCTTCTGCAGCTCGGACTTCACGTAGGCGAGTCCAGCAGTGTCAGCTGTGGCAAAGACCAAGTCGTCGACGTACACGAGGATGTAGAACGGCGGCAGAGAGGTGTCGGTGCGCAGAAACAGCGACGGGTCGGCAGTGGAAGGAGCAAACCCAAGTGCCGCGAGCGTAGTCCTCAGTGTGTCGTGCCACTCACGTGGCGCCTGGCGGAGACCGTAGACTGGACGCCGGAGACTCCACTGGGTACCAGGAGGGAAAGACCCAGTGAAGCCAGGTGGGCGACGCAGCCAGATCTCCTCGTGCAGGCTGCCCTGCAAGAAAGCTGTGCTGAAGTCGAGAGAGTGCAGCTCGTAGTCACGGTGAGCAGCAACGTGTAGCAGAACCCGAAGAGTGGTCATCTTCGGGGTGGGGGAGAAGGTCTGAAAGTAGTCAACCCCCTGCCGCTGACTGAAGCCACGAGCCACGTAACGCGCCTTGAAAACAGGCGGAGAACCCGGCGGCCGCTTCACCCTGAAAATCCACATGCCACTGACGATGTTCGCCCCAGGAGGGGGAACAGCGTCAACGTAGGTGCCTGTGGACTTCCAGGAAGCCATCTCTGCATCCATAGCTGCCTGCCACTGAGAGGAGTAGGGACCCTCTATCGCCTCCGCGTAAGAGCGCGGAGTCGGGATGTCTGGTGCATCCGGGTCTCCCTCAGGGGCTAGCAGTACAGACGCGAGACGAGGTGAAGCGGCGGCCAGACACTGGAACTCCTCCTGCCTGTCCTCAAGGACGTCCGTGCCAAGGGCACACTCACCCCCGACGGACGGAGGACAGGCGGACTCAGAGACAAGACGAGCAGCGTAGTCTAGACGACAGCGCGCAGCAAAGTCGACAAGCTCAGTGACAAGGGCAGACGCAGCAGACGACTCGAAGGAGGGGTCAGTGACAGCAGTAGCCAGGAGACGCGTGACAGTAGGACTGGCAGCACGAAGGGC